CTCACATTTACAATTTGATTCAATTGCGAATAATACTTTACAACATTTTTATCATTTCTCCCTCCTGAAACAAGAAAAGGAGAAAAACGTTTCAAACAGAACAATCTCAGATATGAAATGTCTGTAAAGCCCAAGCTCGAGAAGCAAATGGGGCACGATCGATTACATGGAGGAGATTGGCAGGCAAAGCACGAGACTCCATCCAAGAATAACACATAATTTATTCATGTTGCATGCATCTTAGACATACTTAGGTGCATTACATTCATTTTAGCATGCATAATTTTGCAGCTTTCAGAGTCAAGCTTCGACTTCAGGATGAAGGCTACTCTTGCAGGCACCTTTAAAGAACAATGGTGTAACTCAGCAGCAAGAAGCTACACCTCAATCGACTTTACATATATACAGATCTCAGAACCAATTTCAGATGGGTTCGAGAACCAATTCAGATCAAATTCAGTTCAGTTCAACTCAACAATGAGCAACATCTTTTCAGTTAACACTTTCAAGCCAGATTTCAATTCCACGACGGAAGATATCCGGCTGTCAGAATTTATCAGTAGGTTTTCCCAGACCAGCTTAGGGGAACCACCTGAAGAATCATGATCGTTTTCGACCCGTAAAGGGAAGCCATTTTTAAACAAACTATTTGCAGCTTAGCTCAAGGCCAGAAGGGCTATCTGCCCACCAAGACCTTCGAGTTCGACTACGCTCAGCTCCAAGGCACATCATTTGCAGAATAGCTTAAGTCAAGAAGGGCTATCTGCCAAAGACCCTCGAGTTCGACTACGTTCAGCTTTGAAGGCACATCATTTGCAGTATAACTTAAGTCAAGAAGGGTTATCTGCTAACCAAAGACCCTCGAGTTCGACTACGCTCAGCTCCAAGGCACATCATTTGCAGAATAGCTTAAGTCAAGAAGGGCTATCTGCCAAAGACCCTCGAGTTCGACTACGTTCAGCTTGAAGGCACATCATTTGCAGTATAACTTAAGTCAAGAAGGGTTATCTGCTAACCAAAGACCCTCGAGTTCGACTACGCTCAGCTCCAAGGCACATCATTTGCAGCATAGCTTAAGTCGAGAAGGGCTATCTGCCAAAGACCCCCGAGTTCGATTACACTCAGCTTCGAGGGCACATCATTTACAGCATAACTCAAGGCTAGAAGGGTTATCTGTGACCAAGACCTTCGAGTTCGACTACGCTCAGCTCCAAGGCACATCATTTGCAGCATAGCTTAAGTCGAGAAGGGCTATCTGCCAAAGACCCCCGAGTTCGATTACACTCAGCTTCGAGGGCACATCATTTACAGCATAACTCAAGGCTAGAAGGGTTATCTGTGACCAAGACCTTCGAGTTCGACTACGCTCAGCTCCAAGGCACATCATTTGCAGCATAGCTTAAGTCGAGAAGGGCTATCTGCCAAAGACCCCCGAGTTCGATTACACTCAGCTTCGAGGGCACATCATTTACAGCATAACTCAAGGCTAGAAGGGTTATCTGTGACCAAAAGACCTTCGAGTTCGACTACGCTCAGCTCCAAGGCACATCATTTGCAGCATAGCTTAAGTCGAGAAGGGCTATCTGCCAAAGACCCCCGAGTTCGATTACTCAGCTTCGAGGGCACATCATTTACAGCATAACTCAAGGCTAGAAGGGTTATCTGTGACCAAAAGACCTTCGAGTTCGACTACGCTCAGCTCCAAGGCACATCATTTGCAGCATAGCTTAAGTCGAGAAGGGCTATCTGCCAAAGACCCCGAGTTCGATTACACTCAGCTTCGAGGGCACATCATTTACAGCATAACTCAAGGCTAGAAGGGTTATCTGTGACCAAAAGACCTTCGAGTTCGACTCCGCTCAGCTCCAAGGCACATCATTTGCAGCATAGCTTAAGTCGAGAAGGGCTATCTGCTAAAGACCTTCGAGTTCGATATTCAACTTAGAGGCAAATCAAGCTTACAGAATAACTCAATGCAAGAAGGGCTATCTGTCAATAAAACTGTCGAGTTCGATTCTAATCAGAATCACACTACTGTCCGGCTGTAATCGAGATTTTCAAGTCCAGAAGAAGACCTGGGTTAACTGTGCCTCAGTGATAAAAATCGTTTTCCAGCAACATAGCTTAAGTCGAGAAAAGCTATTTGTCAACAAAGACTTTTCGAGTTCGATTTTATTCAGCTCGAGGGCTTGTCAAGCCAGATGGTGAAGTCAAAGAAATATTTTCCAGCCGAACTTTTAACCAAGGTCCTTAAACTGAGGAAAGACCGAGGTTGACTACAATTGGGCAACAAGAAGTCGCATTCCGATTCAATTCCATATCATTTCAAGATTGACTTGACTTCACGACGGAGGGGTCATCCGCAGCTCAATCCGACAGGGGGTTTTTCTTCAACCCACTGAACGAAAATTTGTGTCTTTTTATCTTTGTCCTATTTTTCGTTCCACGAAAAAGGACAAAGAGGGGCAGCTGTAGACACTAATTTCCGTCCATTTTTTTTTATACATATACCTATACATATTATATGGTTTGCAAACGGTTTTTGAAAATATATATAATATATAGTTTTTAAAAAAGAAAACATTTTGAAAATATGGGTAATATATAGTTTTTTAAAATTTTTGAAAACTATAACATATAGTTTTTAAAACATTTTAGAAAATATATAACATATAATTTTAAAATCATTTTAAAAACTTATATAATATAGTTTTAAAAACATTTTTGAATAAATTATATATGTAGTTTTAAAAACATTTTTGAATAAATTATATAATATAGTTTTAAAAACGTTTTTTAAACTTATATAATATTTTTAAAACATTTTGAAAACTATATAATATAGTTTTGAAAACTTTTTTAAATATAATATATTTAAAAATATTTTTGAAATATGTATTATATAATTATATTATATCAGTATTATTATTTTATTTTCTTTTTATTATTTTCTTTTATGTTTTTTTTTCAGGGTCCAAACAGTCCAATAAGTCTCGAGGGCCTGATCCAGCCTAAAGTTCAAAGTTAGGGTTTCAGCATATGTTAAGGCACCGCACGAATCAACGGCAAAAAAGGGAAAAGGCACAGGTCAATCTGGACCGTTGGATCTGACCCAATCCAACGGCCAGAAAGCAAGTCAACATCCAGAAGCAATTTCAACGGCCAGAAGCATCAGTCGTCACCGGAAATGAAACCGGTCAAACATGCAACAAACACGTTCCATAACAGAACGCAAATCTCGCAAGAATCGAGTCACAACAGCTCAGTCTCCCACAGGCCGAAAATCGCGCCACCACACGGGACTGACCCATCCCGTGAAGTTCGGTAACGCTCACCGGCCGAGAGAGTATAAATACCCCAGACAGAACGGGACAGGGGGATCCACGCAAATCTCAGAAGCATAAACATAGTAAACCAAATAACCAAAACAAGATCAACGAGAAACTCAAACGAAACACAAAGCCAAACATAATCGCAACCATCAACCAAGAGCAAAAGCATAACAATAAACACAAAAAACCCATCGAAAATAAGTGAAGCCGAAGCCAACAGTATCCAAGCGAAGGCTCGGAGTGCATCTCGCCGAAGAAACCACCGGGAAAGTGAAAGGCCATCAAAACATTTTCTGGGTAAGAGGTTGTAAGGTTTTTGTGTGGTTGATGTTTGTATCAGAAAGATAAAAGAGGAGGAGAGAACGGCCAGATTAGGAAATGAGGGAGAGTGATAGCCAAAATCGCATATAAGGGGTATATAAACCCCCAGAACGACGTCGTTTAGGTGAGTCTAGGGCATCTCTCGGGTCAACGCATGGTAAACCGTGTAGAGGGGCCTTACTTTGTATACGTTTCATCTTGGCCACTTAAAGGAAATCATATTTACGTTTCAGTCCTATTTCACTTAAAGGAGATCTTTTTGTGTTCCAATTCGACCTTCTATTGCCATTTTATTCCTATTTAGTCACTTCTACATATTTATAACTATTATTATTATTATTATTTCTATTTCATTATTATTTTTCTTTTTATCATTTTTTTTCGGGATTTATATACATACTTATATATATACATGTATAGTTGTTTTTTTTTTTTTTTGATTTATTGTTTAATTGATTTTGTATATAGTTCTATTTATTTATTACAACTATCTTATTTTTTTTATGTTTTTCTATATATATACATATATATATGTATATATTATTTTCGCCTTATTATAAATTTTTTTTCTTTTCTTTCGACTTTTTTTGATTCATTTAATATTTATTTATTGTTATTTTTCCCCCTAACGTTTTTGATTTTTTTAGAAGAATTTCAACAAATCAGAGGTAAACAATTCGAATTGAATATTTTAAATTTTAATTTAATTTTTTATTTTTGCGATTAAGACAACCGACGAATTAATTGGTACCGAAAGGGCGGTTCAAGGGTGCTAATCCTTCCTTGACCGTAACCGACTCCCGAGCCCGACACGTTTCTGGTACAACGCAGATCAGTTAAGATGGTGTCCGACCCACCTAAATTTGTTTTAAAGTGGTCGGTGGCGACTCCAATCCCTATTTTTCAAGTCGAAGCCCAATTCCGGGGCCCAACCCGAAAGACGGTTACGACAATATAATATATATATGGACCAAATTGTAATCATTAGACTTTAATCCCACTTCAAGACCTATGCTACTCGGACTAAGGTGAACGTCAGATATGATTATGTGTCCCAAGACAGATACTTCAATTTTTCTAAGTTTTTCCTCTTTTTATAAGAACATACCCCCATACTCATTTTCGAATATATGTCAAACTTGCATACTTTAAGAAAAATAAAGAATTCGGATTTTAAAATGGGATCAAATTGCATTATACCCTTTTCCCCCTACTTCAAAATCCACCCTATTTTTCCCAGCTCTGGATTTTCTAGGAAAAATATCTTAGCATCTAAGAAGAATTTTGGCAGGATGAAAATGGATGAACATGAAAAGAATAAGATACTCCAATGATATAGGATACTACCTTCAACCAAAAGAAAAATCCACCTAAGAGACTTAAAACTTTACATCGATCACAGCCAAATTCATCAACTTTTGCTTTTAGATCTGCAGGAGTAAAATGTACGAGTACTGAATAAACACTTAAAGCTTAATATTCGAGCAAAATAACTTCCAGAAACAATCCATTCTGTGAGAGCTGCACTTTGAGGAATACCAGACAGAAATCTTGAAATGGTAAACATAAAATCTTATTAGACAACAAAGAAATTTAGGAGAACAAATTCGAGATTCCAGATCATCTACAACTCAGTAGCATTACAAACAAAGGACAATATCGCATTTCTCTTTCAAGTCTAGTAAAAGTTTTTGCATCAGCCGTTTAATAAGACTACACAACTTTTAAAAGGATACTTCTAGAAAGAGGCAATCAAAGTATGCATAACTATAATGCACAACACACAAAAGAATCACTCACCTTCATACCAATAAATGATGAGTGTTCAAAATCATTAATCTTTGCTCGTTATTTCTTCGGTTTTGAGGAATTATTACTGCTAAATTGGTTGTGTTATGTTTTTTTTTCATGTAGGTCCTTACTTTCTAGAATTAGTGACAAAACGGGCGCATTCTGTATTTTTTTAATTATTTGGTCACGGCTGGAGACATGGGCACGACTTTGGGCATGACGCGGTCTGACGTGGCAGTTTCTAGAAGGTCCAGTCAGCGACGGCTTCTAGAAGACTTTCTCCGCACGCCTTCTGGAAGATTGACGAGCAGAGTTGCATTAGAAGACTAGTTTAAGTTTGAATTTAAATTAAAAAAAATAATTATCTTTAGGATTATTTTATTTGTTTTCTTTGTTTTTCCTTTAGGCTTTGAGATGCTATAAAAAACCACTTGGGGTAAGCCTAAACTCATCATTCAGATTACAATATTCTTTTCTCTCTAGTTTTTATAAAAGCTTTCTCTTTTTACTTTTCAAGTTCTTTTCATTTTTTTTTTATTTTTCAAGCTTTGTTTTCAAATGCTAAGTATGACTTTTGTCACGCTTAGCTAAACTTTTCATAAGCTGAGAGCTGTCGCGATGACTCAATTCCAACGGGAGAATTGAAACAAGCCCTTAATATCTTCGGAATATCTCTCTCAATCTTTGCGCTTATTTTACAAAATCAAAACAGTTTTCGAATTCAAAGATTGACTTTGGCTAAAAGAATGTTGCGATTAAACGTGTGGGAGGAAGATTTGGCTTATAGAAAGCAATTCGACTTCCTGGGAACACACTTGGCGAGATAGCTTTGCCAAGAGGGATTTGAGATCGGAATTGACGGTTATTGAAGCAACAATCCGAGTCGGACGCCACGAACATAAACGGTAATTGATCTGCGACAATTGATGTTGTTAGAATCAATTACCAAAGTCGGAATCAAAGATTGCCTTGGGTATTCGGTATACAAGATAGAGTTACGGGGATAGCCCTTGTAGACAAAGTAACCGACGTGAATCCCAGAGGGAAAATCATATTCGATGATCTAAAGGAAATTGAGTCAAAGCAAAGCTTGAGGCTATTTTTACGGTATTTATTCACAATCTCTACTCTCTTATTTTTATTTAAATTATTTTTATTTATTTAATCATTTTTCTTTACTACTTAAATATGTTTTTACCAAAAATCCCCCCATTTTCTATATCCACGCCTGACATAAATAATTCAGACAGAAATTCAGAATTTTCTAAGTCCTTGTGGAATCGACCCATATTTCTCTATACTATGAATTTCCTTTATTTATTGATTGAGAAAAAGGAATTTATTTGACATCGAAAATGATAGTTGTCAAATTGGCGCTGTTGTCGAGGACTTCGCCAAAGTTACTAATTTTTTGTTTGCTTTTGATTTATGACCAGGTCTAATTCGGGAGCATTAGTGGAGTACGACCCGGAGATTGAAGCCAAAGCTAGGAGACTCCACACACAGACACTTCGGGAAAGAAAGAGACAACAATAAAATCCAGAAGAAGAATCAAACTCAGGTGAATCCGTTAATACAATTCTGATGGCCGATCCTACTACCCCGGAACTGAACAAGAGCCTTTTTGCTTTGATTTTCCTCAAGGAGAAACTCCGTACCAGTTGAAAACTGGCCTTATTCATCTCCTCCCTACATTCCGCGGACTACTAAACGAGGATCCACACAAACATCTCAAGGAATTTCATATGGTCTGCTCCAGCATGAGACCACAGAGTAACGGAGGACCAAATAAAACTTAGAGCTTTTCCTTTTTCATTAGCCGATTCGGCTAAGGAGTGGTTATTTTATCTTCCTCCTAATTCTGTTACTACATGGGCTCAAATGACTCATCTTTTTCTTGACAGGTTTTTTCCTGTGGTGAAAGTAAGTGAACTACGAAGGAGAATACTTGGAATCAAGCATCTTGATGGAGAGTCACTTTACGACTACTGGGAGCGGTTTAAGAAGTTATGTTCTAGTTGCCCACAACATGGTTTAACCAAACAAACACTCCTTCAATACTTTTAATAAGGATTATCTCCCCTAGAAATGAAGATGATCGATGCTGCCAGCGGTGGAGCCTTGGTGAATATGACTCCTACTGAGGCTAGAGACTTAATTTCGACGATGGCTGCAAATTCCCAATAACTTCGCACAAACAATGAACCTTCCCGAATGGTTCATGAGATAAGTTCATCTTCCTTAGAAGATAAAATAGACAAGTTAACTGAATTTGTACACTCTCTTGTTGCAGGAAAGATAGGACAAAACCGATTATGTGGAATATGTGCATTACCTGATCATCCAACAGACGGTTGTCCACTGATTCAAGATGATGCAGCAGCTCAATTCAACATAGTCAGAAAATTTCTGGGACCTCCCCAAAGAGCTTATAATCCTTACGGTAATACATACAACCCAGGATGGAGGGATCATCCAAACTTCAGTTATGCTCAGAACCCAAGACCGAATCAAGGCTATCAAGTGAGACCTCCACCGCCACAACAACTGCAGAAGTCATCATTAGAATCGATTGTCGAGAGGTTAGCACTATCCCAGGAAAAATTTCAGACTCGAACTGAAGCCAACTTCCAAGAGATGGACAAATAGATAAGCCAACTGACTCAAGCCGTACGAAGATTAGAGTCACAAAGGAGGCTATCATCACAAACTGAGTCGAATCCAATAGAAAATGTTAGCACCATCACCCTCCGAAGCAGTACAATTGTTGAACAACCAGACCCAAAGGAAGTAAGCGTAAGATCCCAGAAGAAAGAAGAAACTTTGAACTCCCAAATAGAAGAAGAAGCAGCTGACGCAGGATTCTAGAAAGAGAATGATGAAGAACAAATGGATGACACGATGCCATCCCCCTATGACGTACCACCGTCTTTTCCATCGAGGTTAGTTAAAAAGAATAAAAAACTGAGGAAAAGGAAATATTAGACAAACTTCGGAAGGTAGAAGTTAACATACCTCTCCTTGAGGTTATCCGGAAAGTTCCAAGGTATGCCCGGTTCTTGAAGGAACTCTGCACTAATAAAAGGCAACTTACCGGAAACGAGAAGGTGGATTTAAGTGTGAACGTCTCAGCAACTTTCCAACGACCGCATCCACCAAAGTATAAAGACCAAGGTATGTTTTCAGTACCTTGTAAAATCGGTGAGGTTAAAATCAAGCGAGCTATGTGCGATCTAGGTGCCTCTATCAATGTAATGACTCTCTCCGTCTATAATTTAATTTTCACCAAGCCTTTGAAAGAGACGAGAGTTACACTTCAGCTAGCCGACAATTCAATTATTTATCCTGAATGACTCATAGAAAATGTTCTAGTAGAGGTAGAAGAATTAATTTTCCATGCTGATTTTTATGTGATTAATATGGAAAATGATCGTAGCAAAATTGGTTCTGAAATTCTCCTCGGTCGTCCTTTTCTAAGAACGGCAAATGCAAAAATTGACGTTTGAAGCGGTATTCTTACTATGGAGTTCGACGGTGAGATCTTAAAATTTGATATTTATAAAGCAATGAGATATCCAGACAATGTGCATAGTATTAATTTTGTTGGCATTACTGAGCTTGTTGATGATGAATCTAACTTCGTTGATGATTTATGCAAGGAATCGGATGATAAAAAAGATGACATAAGAGAGTTGGAAAATATTTCAGTTGTCGATTCAAATTTGATCTTAACTCCTTTAAAAATTAAAGATTTACTTTCTCTTTTGCAGGTACCAAAAATTAAGTCGAAACCATCATGGAATCATTTGAAGAAATCATTTTTTGGTAAAAACGATGTTTTGATGACCATTCTTTTCGAAAAGATTCTTAATTTAGGAAATATCTGAAGAAATCTTAATGAGAATTTTTAAAAGAAATTTCTTAGTTGGAAAAAGCGAATGAAGTGGAAGTGTCTGTCACGGAACCTGTAGTCTGAATCAGGTCGTCGAGCTAACGACGTTAAACAAAAGCGCTTCATGGGACGCAACCCATTGTTTATCCGCTAAATTTTTATTTTTACTTTTTATTTTTATTCGATCAAGCATGTTTAATTTAATTTTTATTTTTATTTTGCAGGAACCAAATATTTTTATTCAAACTTAAACGACGAAGAATTGTGAAATTTTCATTCGAACAGTGCCAAATTCGGATCCTACAGTGCAGTACACGGTCGAACAGAAGAAAAAAAAGGAAGGAGAAGCATGTGCGCACCGTTTCATTAACAGCGCACGTTAGCAAAACCCAAGGGAGGCTTGGGCGCACGTTAGTAAAACCCAAAAACAATTTTCCCACCTTTTGTCTACTTTCTGCTGCCCACACTCCTCAATTCCCCCATCTTACTATGCCATGGGCCCCATCCCTATTATCACTCAACTTTTTCAAATTTCAAAACACCTATTATCATTAAACCCTAATCTCTATCAATTCACTTTTTAATTTTAAACTCAACTTTATATACACAAAAAAAACAAAAACAAAAACCCCATTTACTTCCAATTCAAACACCCCACGGAAGTAACCAAACTTAAACCCACCCCCTTTCATCTTCTCCAACTCGATAGCCATCCCCAAATAAATACAAAACCGTCGCTCCTTCTTCTCCTCACTGTCGACGGCATCACCGAACCTTACGACTTCGCTAACAAGTTCCCATGCCATCTGCTCCTCTCTACTCCATGATGGTGCGCACACGAAACCGACCCGACAACACCAACGTTCCTCCACCCCAGACCAAGCACTGTTCGTTGTTCCTCTTCGCTGCTCTCGTCGTCTTCGTCATTCTAGTCCATGCCAACTGTGGCAACCTCTTCCACTCGACCACGCCTACTGAATTTACATTTTGTTCCAATCATTCAGTAACAACGGATAATACTCCTAGGGTAAATTTATATTCTATTTTTATTAATCGATTACTAATGTACTATCCCGTTTATGGTTTTACAGGAGATTAGATGATGGTTTTCCACCGACGACACCACTTGATAATGTTTCCAGTTCAGGACATCAAACCGGGCAGCCCACTTCACCGTCCTAGCGTCTTTCACCATGGCCGAGGCCATAGCCGCGGTAGACATTAAATCCGGGTAGTACTCTATTCCTTCTCTTGCACTTTATTTTTTTGTTTTGGGGAAAAACGCTTTAAGTGAGGGGGAGTAGAGTATAGGATTGAATTTCACCTTCCTTATCTTTATGTTTCGATGCTAGTATGTGTTGATTGGATTTGTCGAAAATTTCATTAATTGTCTTTGTCTTGTTGAAATTTTTTGGAATGATATGCTTCTTTGGGAACACATGATTGTTTAGGTTAGGATATTCTTGATAGTGAATAGCATGAATTGTGTCAAGTTGGTACTTTTGTGATATTCCATGATTTTATTGGTTGAAATGTGATTAGCTCAATGCATGAAACAATCTGGTGAGATTTGAGCCTTTACGAGCATATCATTTTCGCTCGCATTTTGTTTGATTGAGTGTGTCGAATTTGGCATTGATATTCTAGAAACTGTATGTTGAATACTGTCGAGATTACACATGAACATGATGCTTAAAAATGATTTGGGCACCTTAGGATTAACCATTCCGTTTCCCCACTAAATAGCCTACCCATACATTTTTCCCTTAGTTAACCACTTTGAGCCTATTGCCATTTTTTTTTCACCATGTTTACAAACCCGAGCCTTTTATTTTATCACTCTTTTCTACCATTTTCAGGGCAAGTGAACAATTATCCATTGTATGCTCCATTAAAAAAATAGAAGTTCGAAAAATAAAAAAAAAGAAGAAAAAATGTTGTTCGAAAAAAAAAGGAAAAAAGACATGAAGAAAAAAACGGAAAAAGAAACAACAACAAAGAAAAAAAATGCAGTTCGAAAAGAAATTTGTTGGTTTATATGTCGTCTTTTTATCTTGTTGTGCTTAATGTTTTGATGGAGTTGACATTATTATTTCTTAGTTCCTTGCCTTGAATATTTAGCCATATATTTAGCCTTTTTCCCCACCTTTACCTAAGCCCCGTTACAACCAATAAAAGACTCTTTGATTTATGCATCTTGTTCTTATTAGTAGTGGAGATTTGATTTACTTGTAGGCTTAAGGTAATATCGTGTCAATTTTGACATTAAGCGTTTCTTTACCCCAAACACATTGAGTGATTTGAGTGAATCCTGATAAGGTATTGAGTTATAAGCATTGAGATTAATGAATGAATGGATATTACAATTGCACTTGACTTGTTCCAATTGGTGATGTTCAATTGATTGATTTCTTGACTTGAATAGTTATTGTGGTCTCTACCTTGCTTCCTTGAATGTGAAACTTGACAAAGAACGGTAAATGAAATTTTTGACTAGTTTGATTAATCATACTTGAGGACAAGCATGAGATAAGTGAGGTGGAATTTGATGAGTGTTCAGAATCATTAATCTTTTCTCATTATTTCTTCGATTTTGAGGAATTATTACTGCTAAATTGGTCATGTTATGTTTGTTTTCATGTAGGTCCTTACTTTCCAGAATTAGTAACAAAACGGGTGCATTCTGCATTTTTTTATTATTTGGTCACGGCTGGAGACATGAGCACGACTCTGGGCATGACGCAACAGTTTCTAGAAGGTCCAGTCAACGACAGCTTCTAGATGACCTTCTTCGCACGCCTTCTGGAAGATTGATGAGCAGAGTTGCATTAGGAGACTAGTTTAAGTTTTAATTTAAATTAAAAAACAATTATCTTTAGAATTATTTTATTTGTTTTCTTTGTTTATCCTTTAGGCTTTGAGAGGCTATAAATACCCACTTGGGGTAAGCCTAAACTCATCATTAGGATTACAATCTTCTTTTCTCTCTAGTTTTTATAAAAGCTTTCTCTTTTTACTTTTCAAGTTTTTTCATTTTTTTTATTTTTCAAGCTTTGTTTTCAAATGCTAAGAATGACTTTTGTCATGCTTAGCTAAACTTTTCATAAGCCGAGAGATGTCGCGATGACTCAATTCCAACGGGATAATTGAAACAGACCCTTAATATATTCGGAATATCTCTCTCAATCTCTGCGCTTATTTTTCAAAATCAAAACAGTTTTCAAAATCAAAGATTGACTTTGGCCAAGAGGTTGTTGCGATTAAACGTGTGGGAGGAAGATTCGGCTTATAGAAAGCAATTCGACTTCCTGGGAACACAATTGGCAAGATAGCTTCGCCAAGAGGGATTTGAGATCGGAATTGACGGTTATTGAAGCAACAATCCGAGTCGGACGCCACGAACTTAAACGGTAATTGATCTGCGACAATTGATGTTGTTAGAATCAATTACCGAAGTCGGAATCAAAGATTGCCTTAACTATTCGGTATACAAGATAGAGTCACGGGGATAGCCCTTGTAGACAAAGTAACCGACGTGAATCCCAGAGGGAGAATCATATTCGATGATCTAAAGGAAATTGAGTCAAAGCGAAGCTTGAGGCTATTTTTACAGTATTTATTCACAATCTCTACTCTCTTATTTTTATTTAAATTGCTTTTATTTATTTAATATTTTTCTTTACTACTTAAATATATTTTTACCAAAACCCCCCCCCATTTTCTATATCCACGCCTGGCATAAATAATTCAGACAGAAATTCGGAATTTTCTAAGTCCCTGTAGAATCGATCCTTATTTCTCTATACTACGAATTTCCTTTATTTATTGATTGAGAAAAATGAATTTATTTGACATCGAAAACGACAGTTGTCAATCAAGGTATGATTTTCCATCAGTGTTCGTTGAATATAGTTTCAATATTCCACAACGTAACTCTCTAGCACCTTGCACTGGTGTTTTGCTAGTTACTTCTTGCCATAGACTTTCATACTCATTTTGGTCATAGGGAATTTTAAGAAGATCCATAAGCTTCTCCCTAAACTGAAACTGAGCAGAAGTTCCATTGCCAACCCAACTATCTTCCTCAACCTTCACACACACATAAACCAGAAGAACGTAAAAGGATCAGCAACATGCAAAATTAAAATACAATCATAAAATAACAATTTAAAAAAAAAACTTCCAATGGCATGTAGATAAGGCCTATTAAACGTCTTGGCAGAGAAAATAATAGAATAGATGGAACAAAACTGAAGATACTAATTTTTTACCCATATTAAATATTATTATTATTGTTATTATAATTATTATTATTATTATTATTATTATTATTATAATTATTATTATTATTATTATCATTATTATTATTATTAAATATATATTAAATACATATATAAATAATATTAAATTACAAAGCCCAATCAACCGGCCCAAAACCCAAACCAAACTGAAACCCAAAATATTTAGGGTTTCAGTTAGGGTTTCCTAACCCTAATCCCTAGTCGCATCTGCCTCCCACCGCCTCTGCCTCCAGCCGCCTCAATGGTTTCCAGCCGCCTCCACCGCTGCCACGTCCCAACCGAAGGCACCAGAAGGTTGGCTATAGCCGCACACGTATTTCCAAATGGTGAGTCACCACTGGAAGTCCGGTGACTCACCGAACTCTATCCTTCGGACCGGTGCCATCACCCAACCTGTAAAGAAAAAGACAGAGAACAGATCCCAGAGAGATAAAACCGAGAAAAAAAAATATAAAATACTACCAACGATCTCAACAACAAACGCAGCAAAGAAACAGAAAGAAAGAAAAAGGAAGAAGAACCTTACCAGAGGAAGCCGATCGCCGGATCTCACCAAAACCTTCGAAAAACAGAAGGTATTTTTTTAGATTTGCTCCGATTGGGAGCTGTTTAAAGGAAAAGATCATCGGAACCGTCATTAGGACGGTCCGATCTATGTTTCGATGTAAAAAAAAATTCCCGGCCACCGAAGACGGTGGCCGGCGGCGGTGGTTGGCGGCGGACGAACGCCGGCTGACGGTTGCCGGCCGGCTGGGCTTCTCTCTGTTTTAGAGAGAAGCGAGAGAAAATTCTCTCTCTCAGAGAAGAGAGAGAGAAGGAAAATGATGAAATGAAGCTGGCCCTTCGGGCCAGCCGGTTTTTGGACTTTTATAGTCCTTCCCGAACGACGTCGTTTCAGGAAGGACTATGCGCGTAATTAGACAATAGTTAAACCCCGTCCACAGTCCTCCTAATTTGTAAACTTTACATTTTAGTCACTAAATCGAATTTATAATAATTTTAATTCAGTCTTCGAATTTCAATTTTACTCATTTTAGTCCTTTATATTAAAATAATATATTTAGGATAAATAATAGATTTAATCCCTATAATTTTGATTAATTATGAATTAGATTTTTAATTTTATTTTTACTGTAATTTAGTCAGTTATTTTATATGTTTTCATTTATTTTATTATATTGTTTTAGTAGTATTTTTATTTTTATTTTATTATATTGTTAAATATTTTTATATATTCATAAATATATATATAAATAGTAATTTTTAAATATTTATTTTTAATATCGAAGAAAAGGACAGTCTTAATACAACTGGATGTCCTATTCTGATATTTTGAAATTAAAAAGTAAATAATATTTAAATTAATATTTATCAATATCAAAGAAAAGAGCTGTCTTAAGGCACCTAGAAGTTCTTTTCTGATATTTTTTAAATAAATATTTTTTATATAATTTTGAAATAATAGGATTATAAATTAAATATATTTTTGAATTTTTAAATTTTAATAATAGAGACAATTTATAATTAAAAAGTACCAATTTTGGGCGTTGTAGGGGTGCTAATCCTTCCCTAAACGTAACCGACCACGAACCCCTTTTTATTATTAAAAAACATGAATTTTTGGTTATAAACGCAGATCAGTTCAATTTTTCAATTGATGTTTTCTTAAAACTCTTTTAAAAAATAATTTTTAGGTATTCGACCTACCTGATCCAAAAGGCCGATGGCGACTCCCCAAATTATTTTCAAGACCATTTATTTATATAGATTTTCCCGCCAAAATAAATATTTCGTACCCGGACGAAAACCGGTTACGACAGCTTGGCGACTCCGCTGGGGAATAGTCAAACTTTTAAAAATCAATTATAATTGTCTCTATTAATTAAAAATTAAAAATTCATATATTTAATTTTTAATTCTTTCTTTTCGAATTTTTTATTTATTTTATTTTATAATATTTATATGTTTGTTTTATTTGCAAGTATTTTATTTTATTATTTATTTTTCTGTCAAAGGTTTGAACATTTCTCCTCACACACAACACTTGCATTGCATAACATAAAGCTCTATAATAGAGTTATCCCTTTTAAGTGGGAGTGAAAGCGACGTCTTCGTGAGAATTTATTCTCCGTGTCAGACCTAGCAAGTAACTTTCGGGGTTCATATGCTCTATGTCTTCGTGAGAATTTATTCTCCATGTCAGGCATAGAGAAATGTATCCCCTCGAATTGAACTCGATCCACTTTAGTCTGTGATGGACTAGGATTGAGGGTTAGCAGCCTAAGGGGGCACTAACATGGACAATTCGAGTACCTTTACTCCTAGATCTAAAACCCTGCATATAAAAAACCTTAGAAACTCTTCCAATCCAAAGTCATGCCGAAATTTTTGTCTAAAATAGGTGTACACACAGGAGAAATGAATTCTAAACTTTCTTGTTTATTTATTTTCGTTAATGATTAAATTACATGTATATTTAAATTATTTAAATTTAGAAAAGCATGTTTAAATAAAAAAATATTTATGTAAATGTTATTATTAAATTTCTTTATTATGTAAACTAATTTATTCTCTTTTTTGTGTGTTCTTTATTTTTCTGTTTGCATAGCATCATACAGGATAAAAGACATTGATCCTTGTGTTAATTATCTCATTGGAAAGCCTTCATCTATGGATAAAAAGTGTTCAAATCAAGTAATTCTAAACTCAGAAGTAAGACAGTGGGCTGAAGACTTACAAAGACAAGAAGGAGACAGTCTGCAGGATGATTATGTATCTGACTTGGCCAGTTATGCTCCAGTTTCACTAAAAAGAAATGATATGCAAGATTTGCGAAGCATTTGGGAAAGTTGGGATTCAAACAAAAAATTGCAGATTTATCAGACTTACGGAGACATCCCATATTTGCTATATGTTGAAGTTGATGATGAATTACTCAGAGCCCTAATTCAATTCTGGAATCCAGGGTACAATTGCTTCACTCTCAATAAAGAGGACTGGGTCCCTACTATTGAAGAATACACAACATTGCTACATATTGAAGGGGTGTTGGAGAATCGAATCTATTCAAAGTCAATTAAAACTCAACCCTTTCGAGTTAAATTAGCAAAGATTGATGGGGTACGAGAAGAATGGGTAGCAGCCCGTAACAAACAAAAAGGCGAAAGCGAAGGCATTGCTTGGACCAACATTAAAGAACTTATTCAGAGCCATCCAGACTCTAAAGTACGATTCGATTTATTTGCTCTGGGTATATATGGTATGGTCATTTTCCCAAAAGTATTGGGATATGTTGAAACTGCAGTGGTAGATTTGTTTGAACAGCTACCGAAAAAGATTAATCCTGCTTCTGCAATTCTAGCAGAGACCTTCAGATCGTTAAATGCTTGTAGAAAGCTAGGAGGTGGACGATTCTCAGGGTGTACCCAGTTGTTATATGTTTGGGTCTGTAGCCATTTCTGGAGGACAGAAAAGGTTTCATACCGACGTTTTAATACGGATTACTCACCATTAAAAGAATTTCTGGAGCAGGAATGGCCGAAAGAAATTAAGAAAGATATGTGGATTAATGCCTTTCGAAATCTGCAAAGCAATGACATTGTTTGGCGAGCCCCTTGGCAAATCCAAAGGGAATTCTTTTACAAATGTGGAGATTACAACTGGATAATGTTGCTCGGATTATGGGGAGGAATTGGATATGCACCACTTCTAATCATAAGACAGTATGAAGGTTGTCAATTTGTACCTGTCACTGCTGGATTACAGTCATCTGAGTTCGCATTCCATAGCAAAAATTATAAAAGAAATATCATGGAAGCCGTTACAGCTTGGAAAACAACTTTTTGCATCCGAGCTAAAGCAGCAAAAGAAATGTTAACTCCTGATTATAAAGAATGGAGATCTGTCAGAAAAAACGAAAATATTCCTCTACCAGATCAAAATGAGGATATCTCTATGGAAGATCGCATTAAGGTGGTTCCGTCAGAGATTGAAATCTTGAGAGCTGAGTTTGAAGCAGAAAGAGAAAGCTGGTCAAAAGAATTAGAGCAAATGAGACAAGATAAAGCTATATTGGGGGTTGACATTGACTTTCATTCATCACAATGTGCAATGTTGAGAAAAGATAAAGAAAAAGGTGAGGATGAGTACAGAGCTTTACAGAAAAATTACCAGGAGTTATATAAATCCCGGAAAGCATCAGGATCAAGCCAAGCAACAATACAGATGACCAGAAAATTGAACATTGAGAAAAGACGAGTTGAAGATCTGAAAGGAAAGAATAGCCGTCTACTCAAAAGCCTGGAGAAAGGAAAGAAAAAAATGGAAGATTTTGAGGTCGACATAAGAGATCGAATTATAAAACACAAGGTTGAACACCGTGAGATCATGAATGAAATGCAAAGAGAAAGAGATCGAGCCAAAGATTTAGAAGAGATGAAGAATGACATCTTTGTTAAATTTGAAGGCGAGAAAAATAGCATGTTCAAGGGATTTGAATCTGAAATGAACCAGTTGATTGCTGAACTTGAAGTCAGAGGCCAAAAGATGGAAGAATCCAATATTGAAAAAGAAAAATGGGAGCTAGAAAGAAAAAATTTCAACACCAGACTTGAGGTAGAGCAGGAAGTGGCTAGCAATTGGAT